CCTTACATTAAGTGCAACAAGATACAAACCCTAAAGGTGTCGTGGCTCTTCTTACATCAAATTCAGCAACATATAAACCCTAAAGGTGTCGTGGCTCTTCTTACATCAAGTGCAACAAGGTATAAACCCTAAAGGTGTCGTGGCTCTCCTTACATCAAGTGCAACAAGAGATAAACCCTAAAGGTGTCGTGGCTCTTCTTACATCAAGTGCAACAAGATATAAACCCTAAAGGTGTCGTGGCTCTTCTTACATCAAGTGCAACAAGATATAAACCCTAAAGGTGTCGGGGCTCTTCTTACATCAAGTGCAACAAGATATAAACCCTAAAGGTGTCGTGGCTCTTCTTACATCAAGTGCAACAAGATATAAACCCTAAAGGTGTCGTGGCTCTTCTTACATCAAGTGCAACAAGATATAAACCCTAAAGGGGTCGTGGCTCTCCTTACATCAAGTGCAACAAGATATAAACCCTAAAGGTGTCGTGGCTCTTCTTACATCAAGTTCAACAACATATAAACCCTAAAGGTGTCGTGGCTCTTCTTACATCAAGTGCAACAAGATATAATCCCTAAAGGTGTCGTGGCTCTTCGTACATCAAGTGCAACAAGATATAAACCCTAAAGGTGTCGTGGCTCTCCTTACATTAAGTGCAACAAGATATAAACCCTAAAGGTGTCGTGGCTCATCTTACATAAAGTGCGACAAGATATAAACCCTAAAGGTGTGGTTCTTCTTACATCAAGTGCAACAAGATATAAACCCTAAAGGTCTCGTGGCTCTTCTTACATCAAGTGCAACAAGATATAAACCCTAAAGGACTCGTGGCTCTTCTTACATCAAGTGCAACAAGATATAAACCCTAAAGGTGTCGTGGCTCTTCTTACATCAAGTGCAACCAGATATAAACACTAAAGGTGTCGTGGCTCTTCTTACATCAAGTGCAACAAGGTATAGACCCTAAAGGTGTCAAGGCTCTTCTTACATCAAGTGCAACAAGATATAAACCCTAAAGGTGTCGTGGCTCTCCTTACATTAAGTGCAACAAGA